CTAGGCCATCCTCACCCTGGTCTGCCTTCTGGGGACATCCGCTTGGTGCTCTGGGGGAAAAGTCCCCATACCCCAGTTTCAGAGTTTGCACACCGGGCCTCTCAGAGGGGCCTGGTAGCCTCTTCCTTCTCTCTTCTGCCCTCCCCCCCTGCCAAGCCCAGACCTACCCTGGATCCCAGCTCTAGCAGCCTCTACTCCTTCTGTGTGCCAGGCCCTGCCCCACCTCCATGGTTTACTCTCTGGGAAGTTGGGCTCTGGTTAAGTGACAACCCCAGTTCCCTGCTTCCCAGGCCACTGCACAAAAGGCTATTAGCCTATCTTGAGAGACATGCCCCCCCCCCTTCTCTGTGTCGCTGTCTCCCAGTCAGACCAGAGAGTGAGAGAGTGCCTGCAAGCTAAAATACGATCAAAGGTTAACCTCTTCCTGGCCACCAGTAGTCCTACTCGCCAACACATGGTCCTCTCTGCTGGCCGCTCCTGCAGCAGGGCTACTTGCTATTTGAGAAACAGCACAGAGAGGGAGTAGTCCAGGAGGCATTTCTGCACCTCCTCTCACCTGACTTTCTACCCTGAGAAATTTTGCCACACAGTAAGATAAAGGATTAGACACCGTTCAGTTATGACCTTTGTGATGCATGAGCACAGAGATTACCATCTAGCTGTTAAAAATGAGCGAGAAGACTCTGATTAGACTTTTAAAAGTCCATGTAATACAGCGTTAACTAGGGGAAAAGTTGAGCTTCCAAGGACATGCCCAGGTTGATTGCAATATTCTGGAAACCAGCTGTCCCAGCTCAACTCCTTCGTTACAAATCAGATAAAAGTAGGAGGAAGGGTGCATGGTTGTATTTTCTATGCGCTGCCTGTTTAGTTTGCGGATGAGTTGGTTTTTAACAAATGACCATTAAACAAGAAGAAGACATATGAGCCTTAGGTAAGCAATCAAGGGTGTGCGTGTCTGTGTGTGTCTGTTTAAAATCATGCACAATTCTATCTCCTAGAAACAGCAGTCCTAAAATTTGGGCACTCTCTTCGTCATCATGCTCCTCACGGATGCCGTGTTTTATTTTCGAAACAGGCTCTTTAATGGGGAGGATGCGTGGGGCCGGGGCAGGCACGGGGCCAGCCAGGGCGAGGGTGTTTCAGGAGAAGGGATTGCCAAGAAGAAGGAATGAGAGGCCAGAGGTGAAGAGGCTCTTCCTGACTGTGAGCAGTACAGAGATTAAAACCTATCTGTGCAGGATTACAGTTCCTAATTAGGAAAAAACATTAGCTGAGGGGGACCTTTCAGCATTCCTCAGTTGGGTTGTTTGCTTCTAGAGCTCAGGCAAGGCTTTTCCCCCTCCCACATGATTCATATAAAAAAATGTAAAGGCAGAGGAAGCAGGTAGCTGACAAAGTCGGACTGTTTCTTGGAGTCTGTGCAGGCTACGCAGGATTGCTGAGCACACGGGAGTGGGAGGGCCCACCGAATGTTACACTGGATGGATCAAAGGGGAAAGTGAGGTCTAGGGAGGCGACAGGAGCAGCATTTAATGATGCAGACTCAGGGACTGCTGACCTGCCGCCCTCCCTTCCTTGTGATAAGACTGAGAGTGAGTCTCGCCAGGTCTTAAAACAGAAATTCATGCCTGCTATAGACAAAAGTATGCTTTTCAGAAACATAGGCTGATTTTAAAATGTGTGTGTGTGTGTGTGTGTGTGTGTACTAATTTATACTACATAAACTCTCCTCTCAAAAGATTTCACCATAGAATTCCTTTCCATGGCAAGCTTCCCTCATAAGATTTAAGGAGTTTTGTTGTGGTTGGGGTTTTCCACCCCCTCCCCCCAATACTTAGCTTCAGGTCTGTGTGTATTTCATAAACTAGCACGATAAATGCCAAAACCACCCCGTGAAGGGTGTGTGTTATCATTTATGATGGTGGATTCATGAAGATTTGGGAGGAGTATCAGTAATTGATCTGGGAGATTGATGGCCACAGAGCTCCAGAGCCATCTCCTTGAGGCTCTGAGGACATCAACCTCCTAGATCAAGGCTTTCCCAATAATGGTGAGGACGGGGCAGGACCAGCCACATCATTTGTTAGGTATAAAATAGAAAGTCTACTGGTTCAAAAATTATTAAGAACTTCAAGATGGGAACAGCAGACCATTTCACTAAATGTGGGGGCCTGTCTAAAGGTGGGGCCCTGGGCACAAGTTGCACACCTGTGACATCGCCTCTGATCAGGGTGAGTGAGGGTGGCTGTCTGGCCTGACGTTCAGGTGCATGGAGGTAAGAGGTAAGGCCAGTGAGCTATGAATCTGATCTTTTGTCTTGGAAACACAAGAGACCATACCTGCCAAGACTTTTTTGGCTTGAGCTGCTGGTAAAGTGAGTCAGTCCTGAGATCACAGATCAGAGAAGATGATCCAGAAGAACTATAATACCTATGATTGGAAACTGGACTCCTTATTGTCAACGAGGTCTTGTGCTGGGCCGGTCTACTACAAGATACTCATTTTCACAGAAATATTAGTATACTAACTCTCATAGCCTAGTGGTAAGAACCCGAGCTGCAGTGCCAAAAGCATGCGGTTCAAATCCACCAGCTGCTCCATAGAAGAAGGATGGCCAGTCTCCTCCCATGTGATTAACTGCCTCTGTAAACCCACTAGACAGTCAGCAATGGGTCAATTCTGACGCAGCGGTACTCAACAACAACCATGATGGTTAAGATTATGGCACAATGAAAAAAACTGGATGAAATATGTTTACGGCATTGAAGTCTATGGGGGAGAGAATAGTCTAAAAGTATTATATTTTAGGGCATTATTTTTATCGTAGGAGTATGCAATGAGGGTTGCAGAGTGGATTATATTTGGGGGTAGGGGGTGGGGTTTGGGGAGGTGCGGGGGGCATTGTGTACCAATGAGGGAGTTTTTCTTTTGCTTTTCTTTTTTTTTTCTTTTGCTTTTCAAGGAGAGGAGCAAACGGGGCGGGGGGGGTGGAGGGTTTGTGCGGGGAGAAGGGTGCAACAATGAATGAATGGAATTCCAAAATCTCTGTAGATGTTCATTGAAATGAAAAATAAACAACCTAAATTAAAAAAAAAAAAAGAAAAAAGATTATGGCACAAGAAACAGGCACTTGCATTTAGACCTCAGTGGCTGTGAATGTTTGTATGGATTCCTTTTCCACGCTCTGTGCCTCCATTTCCTTATCTATAAAACAAAGCACGGGCCTCTTTAAAGTTCTAAAGAGCTAAGGTGTCATTTTAAAGACTGAGGTGTGTTTGATCCAAGCCATAGTAGTTTCAGTCGCTTCATCTGCATATGAAAGTTGAGTAGTAAATAAGGGAGTAATATAAGTAAATAAGTGATGCCTTTGAGTGGTGATGTTGGTGAAGAGTATTGACTGTCCCATGGACTTCCAGAAGAACAAACAAATCTGAGTAGCCATGGATCCAGAGCGCTCCCTAGGAGCAAGGATGAGGAGACTTCCTCTCACATACTTTGGGCATGAATTCAGAGAGGACCAGACTCTGAAAAATGGTATCATCTTTGGAAAAGTAGAGGGCCAGCCCAAGGGAGGAAGACCCTCTATGAGAGAGATTGGTGCAATGACTGCAGCAGTGGGCTTAAGCAGAGTTTCTATTGTACATAAAGTTGCTGCATCAGAGCCCCCTCAAGGCACCTAACAGCAACAACAGCGATGTTACAGGGTGGGGTTAGGAGAGAGTGCATTCCTCTCTCTTTAAGCTCTTTGCCGGGTGCCTGGCACATGGCAAATGTTTGCTGAACAGTAGCTGTCGTGATGTTGTTGATGGTAGTGGTGATGATGATGATGAAGTAACTCTACGGTGAAGTGCTGAGCTGTTCACTTTATAAGAAGAAAGGGTAACCGAGAGGTCGGGAGAGTTGGCTAAGCATTAGGAAAAGCAATGTTTTTTCCTTTATCATGGTACTCTTAAGGGAGACTTACTGGTTTGACCTAAAAGCTTCAAGTGCACTGAAGGTTTACGTTGATGGTTTACCAGGCCTTGCTCCTCCAAAGTCTAAGCATGCACTCAGCACACACACTTGCAGAGCACCAGCACTGTACTGGGCCCTCTTGGTACTAAAGACATACAGAGATGAGAGCTGGAAGAGAGAGGGGTGAATGATGTGGTGATAACTACTGTACCACACTATTACGCCACAGGAGAGGAATGGGGTAGAGGGGCCAGGGGACTCGCTGCACAAGGAAACCCTGGAGGAAGCTCTGTGTGGGCAGGACTCTGGCCTGGCCTTTGGAGAATAGAAGCCAAGGACAGAGGGTCCTCCCAGCCCTGCTGTGTGCACTATGACATCCCTGCTAATGGGTTTGACTGTTAACCAAAAGTTTAGAGGTGTGAGGTTTATTAACCAAAAGTTTGAGGGTACCACCAAAGGTACCTACATCTGAGGGGAGCTCTGGTGGCCTAGTGGCAAGAAGGTGCAACTACAATCCCAGAGGTGCATGGTTCGAATCCACCAGATGCTCTGCCGGAGAAGGAAGGGCAATCTCCTCCTGTACCAGTCAGATCTGATTTGATGGTACACGCACACAAAAATAATAAAGTAAAAAAAAAAAATTAAAAAAAGGTACCTACATCTGAAGACTCAGCCACTGAAAAATTGTGTGGAGAGACAGTTCCACTGACTCGCATGAGGTCCTAATGGCCCTGCGGATAACTGAGAGAAAAAGCCTGTAAAAGGAATTCCTTCCTCCTTAGCCTCACAGGCAGTTGGTATACAGTGCTAATACCACATAAGTAAAATGAGGAGACCCAGCCACAAATACCTCTGGGACGTCACATCTTTTCTTTTTATGTCTTTAAATGCTGTGAGATGTGAGGAGATGTGGGTGGGAGGGGCACACATGGGAACTTGGGACTGTGGAGGTTTCACGGCTTGGGGAACTTTGGCTATTCCTTGCTGGCTTTTACCTTTGATCTCACTCAGTCACCAATACTTTCCTGCTTTTCTCTCCCCAGGGTCAGTGGACTTTCCCCCTTCATGGGTGACAATGATAACGAAACCTTAGCCAACGTTACCTCAGCCACCTGGGACTTCGACGATGAGGCCTTCGATGAGATCTCTGATGATGCCAAAGATTTTATCAGCAACTTACTGAAGAAAGACATGAAGTAATGAGTTTTGAGTACTCTCAACTTCCCTCATCCCTGGGCTAGGGAAGGCAGGAATTGTTCTTATCACCTCCTCCTAAGAGGAGAGCAGACATGGAGAGGCACCAAACCAAGTATGTGGAGGAGGCAGGACATGTCTTCCTAGGTCTCAGTTCCTCCCCAAGCACAAAACCCTCACTTAACTAAACATTGCAGCTGTGTAATACAAATACTATCTTTTTTTTATGTGCATAATTGTGGCTTTAAAAAGTCCTACCTCTTGAGAACTCCTGGGGGTGGGGAAGTGGAGGAAATAACCTCTCAAAAAGCAAGAGTGGAAGAGGGAAGCTTCACTGGAACCTGTCCATGGGTCCAGTCACCCTCCAAAGAATCTGCTTCCATGTTTTCTCTTATGTTATCTAAGAACTGCCTGCCTGGATCCGGTCTGAGTTGGGATGTGATCCCAGGCCACAAGACAAGCCTTTCCCCTAGCTGAGTCACCCCCATAACATTGCACCTGGAAGGCTACCTGCCTCTGCATTCTGGAGCTGCCCATGTGGTCAGAGGATGAGTATATCAAACTCTCGAGACCAGAGGTAGGCGCTGTGTCCAGTGTATACCTGACCTCTGAGTATGTGGAAAGGTCAGACACACAAGGGACTTGGTGAGTGTTGAGGGTGTGGGGCTGTGAGGGAGACTAGGCAGAAGAGGGGAGATCTGAGGTGAGCTTTGCTAAGAGGAACTTTCCTGGTGAGGCAAACTAGAAAAATTAAAGCAAGAAGGTAAGAGAGGCTATGAATGTGGAGAACTGCCCCTGGAGAAGGGAGGAGTGAAGTTGTCAGACGAGAGGAACTAGTCTGTCAGGGAATGCCACCAAAGGGTTGGGTAGATTATGAATCACAGCAGCCTTGTATAGTGTTTGCAGGGCCATAGTCTTTATGGCAGTGGTGGCCTGGTGGTCAGGAGCTGTACTGTCAATGTGAAGGCACAAGGTTCAAACCCACCAGCTGCTCCACAGGAGAAAGATGGGCATTCTCCTCCTGTGCAGTTCACAGTGTCTGAACACCTGCTGAAGGGTCAGCCCTGAGTGGGTTCTGACTGGACTGCAATGAGTGAGTTAATGCTTAGGGAAACGGGCTTCCATGTGCTTCTCCTTTATAGAGGCTGATGCGTTCAAACCACCAACCTTTTCCCTCAGCAGGCAGGCAGATGCCGTATCCGCTGTAACACCAGGGCTCATTATCAGCCCGCTCTGTAAATCAGATGAGGCAGGGCATGGCTGCAGGGGCCCCACAGTGCTTGGAGTCCTGTTTGGCAATAGGAAGTATCTGTAAGAGAAAGATGATGTTGAAAGAGGTGGTGTTACAGAGGCTGGGGGAGGAGGAACAGTGAGTGTCCAGGCCGGTGGAGACCAGCATCCAGCCTGTGTGGGGCCCTGTGACTGCAGCTATGGCCACGTTTGGCTCCCCTGAAATGCTATTTGACAAAGCAGAGAACAGTTGCTAAAGCTCCAGTGTTGGAGGCCTCGGGTGACTATGGCTGGTTTTTCAGTTACCTATCACCTCATAATCCTTTAAAACCATCTCAGGAACTAACTCCCCCAGGGACTACTCTGCTCCATATTCATAAAGCTCAAGGAACCGAATGCTCACGTGCACAGAAAACTGACTGGGAAGAAGTCTAACAGGATGTAGTCATCTTCAGAAAAAGGGATTACGAGTGACTTTTCTTTTCCTGTGCTTTTCAAATTTTCCACAATTTGTACGGATTACTTTTCAAATACAGAAATACGTCTCAACAGTGATAGTTTTTAGTGTTCTGCTGCCTTTGCCTTTTTATCAGAGGAACTGAGATGATGTTATCAGCAGTCGGGTTGCAACCAACTCCTGGCTGACCCTCCAGAGTGTTTTCAGAGGCTGTAAAGAATAGGGGAGGAGATTGCTCATCTTTCTCCTGAGAAGTAGCTGGGGGGTGGGGGTGTTTCAAACCACCTGCCTTTCGGTTGGCAGCACAACTCCTTAACCACTAGGCCACCAGGGCTCCCTGCGGAAGTTGGAGAGTCTAAATTCCCTTCCAGTCTAAAAGATTCTCTCATTTCTAAGCTGACTTTAAAAGCATAAGTGTCCTCTCTTGTAATTCTAGTCTTGGGATAGCTTTTGTCAGACCAGCTTTGTTCACTGAGAATGTGGTAAAGAGATAACTTGAATACTGTTTTCTTGTCTGACCTTGAATTTATTCCATAACAGGGTACACTGTGTCTCTTTGTGCACATAAAATGGACTCACCAAGAACTGTTCTTATTCAAATAGATCAAGACACTAGAATTCCATAGACTTTTATGGATAGTACCTTAGAAATCTCTATCCACAAAAGTGCCATAAAATGAATATAAAGTATCGTATATACATTATATGTATAAATAAACATAAATGTAATGTACTTACATATGTTGGTGTTGAACAGATGTCAACTTAAGATGACAAAATTAACAGAATAAAACTGAATTTCATGGTGGGGGTAGGGAGAAATCTCCATCAAGCAACACTTTTTGAAAATGTTTTATATTCTAAAAGTGATACAAATAAACTATTAAAAAATTGAAAAACATAGGAAAATGAAAAATACCCATAATCCTTCCAATCTAAAATCACTACATTTTGTTAGACTTCTTTCTGGCCATTTGTCTAAGGACATAGCATGTAGTTCCTAGGGTTTTATTACTTATTTGTGCTGTTACAACTAAGGTTTATGACAATGACCCTGAAGTCTTTGTAGATTCCAGAGATTCCGGGAAGATTAAAAGCATTTCATTGCAGTTCGAAGGTTGTCATAATTCACGGCTTAGATGGAGCACATGCTTCTTTAAGGTCTAGCAGCAGAGACCTGACGTTCTACCCCATGGAAAGAGAACGTGGGGTTCTTTTCCCCTGCCTTCCAGTCCAGCGTGTCCTCTCCTCCGTCCCAGACAGGCAGGCAGAACATTCATCCTCTAGAGCTCCCAGCGCTGAATGAGACTGGATGAGTGAGCCCACCCCGAATTCCGTGCCAGCTGTCCCAGCAGGTCAGCCCTCTGGCACTTAACACTTCCTAGACCCAAAGTACAGGTCATGGGTTATCTGTTGCATTCTTGGTGTTAGACCCCCCTTAACTTGGTCCTGTGCTGGGTCCAGCCAGTGTGGCCCACACCAAGATGGGAAGAGGCCAAGAACACAGCGTCCCTATTGATGGATGGATTAGGACGAAGGAGCCTTGGACTCTTCCCTGTGTGACTGAGGACAGGAGACCTCCCACGTATGATCAGATCCTTAACCTCAGAGGATCCTTCCTCAGAAATCCTCTAATCTCTACCCCCTCAGGAACCGCCTGAACTGTACCCAGTGCCTTCAGCATCCATGGCTGATGAAAGACACCAAGAACATGGAAGCCAAGAAGCTGTCCAAGGACCGGATGAAGAAGTACATGGCACGAAGAAAATGGCAGGTAATGTTGTGTTACGTCAATGGAATATTGTTCCTTTCATATCTGCTAAATTCAAGCCGCCTACGTTCCCAGCTTGCCTTGACCTTACTCCAGAGAAGGTTACATTTTTGGTCTGGAACCAAGGTTGGCAGTTAATATAAGCACAGTATTGCACTTGGGCCCCAGATTTGCTCAAGGGAAATGGGTTTCTTGGCTACAGCAGTCTTTCCAATCCTGCTTAGCTTTGTCCCAGAGAGACCAGTGCAGGGAGGCCGCAGGCAGCCTGGCCTCACCTGGCTAATGCTGCTGACATTTCCTTTGTACGAACAAGCAATGTCACCTTTCCTTTTACTTAGCAAACCCGGAGAATGTGATCTTCTTAAAGGTATTCTTTTAGTTTTGCTTTTCTTCATGGTGAAAGAGGAGACCACACGATAGGAAAGAAGAAACGTGGGTGTTTCCTGGGAGGCAAAAATGATTCATGCTCTTGACTGCAAACTTGAAGGTTGGAGGTTTGCGTCCACTCAGAGACACTTCAAAAGGAAGTGCTGGTGACCTACTACCAAACAATTAGTTCTGGTTAGTTACCTTCTAAGGAGATCAACCCCTTAGGTAAGTGGCTTGACCTTGCTGTGCCCTTCACTTTCTCATTCGAAATTGGGTATACGAGTGGTACTAACTTCAAGGCATTGTTATGAGAATTAAATGAGGCAGTTTTCAGATAGTGAGCCCTGGTGGCACGTGTGTTTGGACTGCAAACTGAGAGGTTGGCAGTTCAAATCCACCAGCCATTCTGAAGGAAAAATGGGAGCAATCTCCTCCCTTTATGATTTCCAGACTCTGAAACCCAGTGGAGGGTTGACATGGGTCCGAACTAACTCACCAGCCATGGGTTGGTCTGTATTTTTTAGATCTTCACATGGGTCATAGCTCAATGGCTGGCACATAGCTAGAAAGTGTTCAAAGTACATGAAGAAGCTAATCTGTACTGAGGGCTGACTGTGTGTGAGGGGTGATGCAGAGCCCTGCCTATGCAAACCACCTTTTAATCCTGTGAGGCAGGACTACTATTATCTCCACTTTATAGACAAACCGATGCAGAGAAGGGCTAGAGGCCTCTGCCAGCGTTACGTAGATAGATGCTAAGTGGAAAAGCCAGGACTGAAAACCTCTAAAGTGTAGTCTATAAAAACAGCCTGAAATTGCCTTAGATAACGAGGTAGATAGAATGATCCTGCAAGCCACAGTTCTCTTCATCATCTGTTTTGTTGTTTTTATTATCATTAGTCAACAACTCAATGACATTGGATGCGACTCAGCTGCCCCTCTAGCAGGTTTCTGAGGCTGTAAATCACACAAGAGATTGTCCGTCTTTCTCCTGAGGTGCAGCTGGTGGATTCAGCACTAGATAGGTGCCGTCTTTAGAACAACTCCCTGCAGCCCAGGCCCCTACAGCTCCCTGTTAGCATTCTTAACCATATACGATCGTCAGGCTACAAGAGGGTGCATAGTTCCTATACGCAAGGAATGTATAGTGTAATGAAACGCTGGAGCAAATAGACATAAAAGGACAAAGCATGCATCAAGAATTCTAAACCAACAGGATAGCTCTCCATAACCATATATGAGTGTGAACAGGAGAATAGAGCCCGTGTATATAATGATGAGGGTGTGGTCTCAGGGAGGACTTTGAACATGGGTTAGGACACAGAGAAGCAGGGTAACGGCGCTGGGAATACACGAATACATGGGGGGTGGGGGTGCTGGCTTCACGGCTGCAGAGGCTGTTGGCTGGGAAGTCAGGACCTTAGGGCATTTCCTTTCCTGCAGCAGAGGGAAAGGAGATCTCTGTTAGAAGGGTGACAGGGCCGGTGTTCACCTGCTTCACAAGGTGACTAAGCATGGTTCCCGGAAAGTCCAACCTCATACAAAGGTTGAGTGAGGGAGTAAAGGTGGATGAGGGTGTCAAGGGGGCGCTTAAGGAACTACGTTCCTGTGCACATTGCACAGGGCCCGTGGAGCACCCCCAAGCGGGACTCCTTCTGAATTGACCCCTTGTGAGAATGCCTAGGTGGGTCTCACCACCTCCCTCAAGGTGAGAGTTGGAATACCTGCCTGCTTACCCTTTGGCGCTGTTAGGCTCCAGTAACTACAGAGTACTAGGTATTGTTTGAAGATAAACCAACAAAACCCTAAACCCACAACCAGCAAACTGGACCTGATTCATGATTCTCCATCATGTTTCTGAGGCTGCAGATCTTTACAGAGATTGTCCCTCTCTCTCATAACGCACTATCACCAGGGCCCCTTAAAAAGGGTTCGTTCCCCAGATGAGACGTTAGCTTTCTTAATGATCCTGTGGCCATTAGCTCTCAAAGAAATAACAGTGTTTCTGGGAGGGATTGGGTGACCTTGTGCTGGGGACGGGTCCTCACAGCATGGGGACGTTGGTGGGAATCGGCTCAGGGGAGGCTCTGGGTGAAGGGGCAGCCTTATTTCTGCAGCCCTGCTGAGAACACTGGATCATTTGCAGATGGAGTGCAGCCAGGGTGACTCCTAAACTTGGGGATAGGCCCAGAAAAGAGATAAAGGAGCAGAGCAGAGGCAAATGGAATTTTTCAATCAGAGCAGTCAGGAAGCTGTAATTTGCGCTGATATTTTAATCACATTTTCTTCATGTTGTTTACAGAGTTATTAACTAGAGGGTTTTCTGGATGTGGAGCAGAAAGCCAAAGGGTAGAATTCAGACAAGCAACCTCCACTCCCTCTTTAGATGTGGCTGGCGGAAATTTGGTAAAGGACTTCCCCACAAAAACAGTAATCAGGTTTCCCCAAATAGCGCACAAAAGATGTCCACAAGACCTCCTTTGGCACATTGTTGTTGTACTTCTTGTTGTTGTTATTGTTGTTGTTGTTATGTGCCATCGAGTCGCTTATGACTCATAGCAACTCTATGTACAACAGCCCTAAATCCTGCTCTAACCTGTGCCAACGGCACTGCCTCTGACACCCCCATCCCGATTACCCCAGTCACTGAATCAGTCCACCTCATAGAGGGTCTTCCCCTCCTGCGCTGTCCCTCCACCTTCCCAAGCGTAGTGCCTGAAATGTAATTTCAGTGGTGGTAAGCTGCACCTGACCATCTTGGGGGGCTTTACCTCCTTTGGGAAACATTTGCCACATTTTAACTTGAGGCTCTAGAACTTCAGCTTCCTCTGCAGTTCAGGACATTCCTTTGGAGAAGTTAGGGTGCTCAGGGAGGACAAGGAAGGGTTGTATGGGAGAGGGGCTGAGTGGGGTGGAATGTTCTGGAGGGAGTGAGGCAGACATAGGTGGCCAGAGACTCACTTCAGCTGCTCCAGACAGTACCTAGTGATTATTCAGTGTGTTTTCCATAAAAGGCCCTCAGAATAAAAAGTAAGATGGGGAGAAAAGCCCTTAAATAAGGCTTTGTGTTATTGATCTTTGCATGAAGTTATTTTAACTTCTATTAAAATAATTGTGTTTTTTTTTAATCATGGTAATGAAGAATATCAAGCATGAGCTGAGAAACAGAACAGGACAATAGAGTTTCTGTGGAAACGGAAACCAAAGAATAGGAACTGGAGGCCTGTTGCTGGTGGCCATCTTTCTTTTCTGGGTCATAGAGAAGTAAGCATTTGACTCAGTATAGCATGAACGACTTTCACCATCATATTTGGGTGTTATGCACTTCTCAGGAGATTTGTTGGTATATACCTAGGGCCTGTCACACTTGACTGGCTCTGGGGTGATCATTTTGTCCCAGTTTGTGAGGGACTGTCCTGGTTTTAACACTCAACAAACCGTGTCCTGGGAAACCCCTCAGTCCAGAGCCCTCTGGGATGGTTGGTCCTCGTAGCTGGCTCTCGAAAGAGAGGGAAGGCGGCTGTGCAGAAGCTGCCCACTTGGAACCTGGGAATGTGGGAGCCCACAGATTTTCTTGTACCAGAAAGAAAGAGAGAGAGAGAGAGAGAGAAAGGCTTTCTCCGAACAAGAAAAGAAGTGAGAGAATTGAAGCTTTGTCTTGTTAATATTTTAAAACACTTCAAAGGTCTTACTCAATAAAGGAGCAAACACTTTTCAGCTCAAAGACATGAAACTGGAAAACTACATTTCTTTTTCATCTCTACTAAGAGAGCTTCCTTAGCAAATTTTCTTTCTTTTTCTCCCCCTATAAATCACTTCCAAAGATTAATTCTGATTCAGGTTGTATTAAGTATTTTCTTTCTTAGAGATTTCTTAATTTCTCCCTTGTTCTGATTTCACATGAGCCATTTTCTGAAGAACTGAAATGAAGAAAAGCTGCCGTCTCTCTGCAACCACATAAGCGAGGGCATGACACCAGCCAGTCACAACCCAGAAGTCTGAAATTAGCGAGCCCATGAGTTTTAGAGGGAGGTCTGGTGGTTTAGCAGTAAGGAATTGTGCTACAAACCCAAAGGCAAGAAGTTCGAAATCACCAGCTGCTCTATGGAAGAAAGTTGGTTGTTCTCCTCCCGTGTGAATTACTGCCTCTGAAAACCTGCTAGAGGGTCAGCTAGGAGTTCGTTTTGACTCCATAGTACACAACAACAATATGAGCTCTAGAGGAGTGTCTTGTGTTGCACAGTTTCAGACTGTAGACCAGAACTCCAGGAAGCTCAAAATCTCCTCGAGAAGGGAACTGACTTACACAACATCGCACAGTAATCAGTGGTGAGAGAAGTCACTTACCCCATGTTGGGAATGGACCTTCTGAATGTAGACATTCCTGGCCTACAGCTAGCCGGTGTCTGTGGGATAAAGGGACTAGAGACCTCAGAGGCACAAAGTCTGTGCTTTAGTTGCTGAGGACATAGTCTGCTCTGTTGTCTCCACAGGGAGACTGCTGTAGCCACTTCTTGTCTGAGGCCACAGTAAGCTACCGTGGCTTCCCTGCAGCCTCTCTCAGGAGCATTGTCAGGTGGCCACAGCGACCCTGCCACCCCATTGAGCTGGCAGTTGGTCATCACTTCATCTGCCTTCCCTCCTGACTAACTCTACTGTCAGTTCAGAGTGACCCCATTCTCTCAGGCAACCCAATTCTCGAACTCATACTCACACCATTACAGGGGTGTGTGTGTGTGTGTGAGAGAGAGAGAGAGAGAATGCACACGCACGCATGGGACCAGAAGTCCAGAGGCGGGTGGAATGAATGCCGCTCAGAGGACACGGAAATAGTCTACAAGCAGGAAGGAAGGTGGCATAACAGAAAAGTGGTCATGGTTGACAGCAGTAAGTCTCCACTTAAACCATATACACGCATGCAACACACACGATTCGAGGTTAGACACTTGCTTTCCAGATGGTCCAAAATGATGAGGCTTTACTGAAATACTCAAGTGCGTGACATTAATTTAGGAAGAAAGTGGCTTTGCTGGCACAGGTAGAAGTCCAGTGAGAATGAGGAGCAAACTAACCATGGGCCTACGGAGAGGCTGTTCCTGACCAATTCCCAGAAGGGCGAGCTGCCATTCTCTGATAGTATCTGTCGTCTTGACACACAGCAGCTGGATCCCTGGAGGGGGAAAAATAAGCTTCTAGAAGGCAATAGGAAAGTGTGTAACCATGTCTTTATTTTCTTATCCTTATCACCCATTGACTTTTTAAAAAAAGAATGAAGAACTTTTTGAAGGTGAGAAACAGACACAATTGTATGTTCTTGGGGATTTTGCTACCTAAATTTTCACATGCAAGGAAACAGCATCTCAAGTTGCGGTGTTATCCTGAGAAGTCCGTGCTGTTCCAAGGTCCCTCATCTCAGAAAAGCTCAAGTGCTGTTGGTTTTATTTTCTTAGGCTGCACGGGAGGGGCAAGCGCTCTCTGTATCTGCACTGTGAAGACTCAGGCCTGTGAAGGGATGAGCCACAAAATTTCTGGAAATCTCTTAAGTGTCTGAATCATAAATAGAATTAAAGAAGGCCTTGGAGTCATCTGGTCCAGCCCCCTCCTTATACAGAAAGGGAAACTGAAGCCTAGAGAGGTCATGTGAGCTGCCAGAGGTCAATGCCTTTATTTTTTTTTTTTTTTCCAAGCAGGACCGATGGGATCTGTCGTGACTATTCGCTTGACCAATTAAAATCCTCTCACTAGCATTGTTTTATGAGAAACTGCCTGGCTGGACCCAGTTCGCAATAAGTCTTTGGAGCTGTCTCAGCCTGCAGTTGCTTTATATAAACTATCCCTTTTATGGGAGTTGAAGCACAGTATGAAAAGAGTTTTTGTCTCATGTTGACCTTGTTTAGTCACATTAACGCACACATCGCTTCCAGGGCCCCATTCCATTCCCGAACATCTTCTGACACACAGATAGTGCTGAGCAGAGCAAGGTCGGGCTCACTCCTCCGGCAGGAACTCAGAGGCCTCCTTCCAGGAGGCGAGGCTGCTTGTCCAAGGCCAGCCTGGGCTCCTCTCCCCGAGCACCCAGCGCTGCCCCACCGGACCAGGGACACCTCCTGACTCCCACTCATTGTCTATTTTCCAGAAAACGGGCAATGCTGTGAGAGCCATCGGAAGACTGTCCTCTATGGCAATGATCTCAGGGCTCAGTGGCAGAAAGTCCTCAACAGGGTCGCCGACCAGCCCCCTCAATGCCGAGAAGCTGGAATCTGAAGGTAAGGGGCTGTTCCTGACCACTGGGTGGAAAAGAAGGAGGTGGGAGATGTCTGGACATTATGAGGTATTTTTTAAATGGATTTTTAGGGGGTTTTGATGAGTTTGGCTTCTTTTTTAAGTTAATAATTTTAATGAAAGTTTATACAGAGACTTTGGATTTCCATTCCTTCATTGATGCACTTTTCTCCCTGTCCACCTCTTCCGCACCCCCCAGTTCGCTCTTCTCTTTGAAAGGTAAAAGAAAAATTCTTCCATTGTTATACAGTCCCTCCCCTCAAGTAATTTAGAACCATTTTTAGGTTGCCCTGATACTAAGTCTAGTAACTGTTTTTAATTTTTAAACCTTAAACTTAACTATCATCAAGGAGTATTTGAATTTTTTTTTGTCTTATAAAACTAGATAAACCCAGCTATTCTATGTACCTGTATTTTGGTTAAGAATCAATGAAGCTTTACTAAAATGCTTTTTCCTCATTATAAAATACTTGTGTATTAATAGGAAAAGGAAAATAGCATAATTATGTAAGCTCTTAACAAAGTTTTTCTCCACCTTTTTTTCCTTTGTTGGTTTTTTTGTTGTTGTTTTAAAGCAAAGTTAACTTGTATAGCTGAAATTCTTTTGGCTTTCTTCGCGATAATGCATCACAGGTAGACTGTGCCTGGCAGGACCCTTCTTGGTGACTTGCCCACTGTCTCTGAGATGCTATCCCTCCATCTCCTTGGTCAAGGCCATGACCTCTGCCTGCTTCTGGGGCATGTGAAACTTGGCCCTTAGCTTCCCTGAGGTGCCTACTCTGGGCAGATACACCCCACTGGCAGGTGCTCTTGGCTTCTGCAGGTGAGAAGACCCAGACTAGATCCCTTGTACTCAGAATTCACAAAAGAGATTGCTGGACTACATGCCATGAAGCATGGTTGTGTCTGGATATAGTTTGCAGCACATGGTCCCGTCCCTTCTTCTCATGCCTGCCACCCACCAAAGGACCAAGCAGATGTCAAAAAGTTAAAGGAGAGGGTACAGGGGCCTCTCAGAGTTAGAGCTTTGTTCTGAACCAATCTCAGACCGTGGTCTGTACCCATACAGTGAAGGAAGGACAAAGAGTGGACAGTAAAATCAATGGCAAGTCGAAGATGTCTCTGGGGCCTGGCTCCTTCCTGAGGAGTAGGTTGAAGTGCCTGTTGAAAGAGTGTGGGCATGAGGCACAGAGACTGGGGAAGCAGGTCCTGCCTTCCCCAAGTATCCTCAGCTGAAACCTGAAACAGCATGAAATGTGGCCAAAAATCCTTTTTAAAGATTATTTCCTTTTTTAATGTGTCAGCATAAGGGAGCGGTGGGCGCAGGGGGAGGCTGAACATGTCCCCAGTTTAGGCACAATTTTCTCTTCTGCCAGAAACCATTTGGCTGCAGGCCAACCCATCCCTGAGAGAAAACCTTGCTTATGATTCAGATCTCTGAGCTGCATTATTTGCTAAATTATACCAGCTTTTTTTTTAAAAAAAAAAAAAGCCACAAAAACAGCTTTCAAATTTTGGATGAAGGGAGAACAAGGAATAAAGAAATGACCAGTTCCTCTGGTTTCTCTTTTAGAGGATGTCTCCCAAGCTTTTCTGGAGGCGGTTGCTGAGGAAAAGCCCCACGTAAAACCCTATTTCTCTAAGACCATCCGGGATTTAGAAGTTGTGGAGGGAAGTGCTGCTAGATTTGACTGTAAGATCGAAGGTAAGTTGTCATTCTCCTTTCACTGTAGAGGCAGGGAGGAGATGATGGTGGGTCACCAGCTTGTGCCCATGCCCTCCGTCTGTGGAGCCTTGGAGCCATTATGAACTGCCAACCTGTGAGGGGTCCTTGTGGCCTCTCCTCTACACTTCCTCCTGACAAATGACCTTTTATTGCCACATCTAAAATGCTCGTGTCAACAACACATGCGTATTGTGTACATAATAACACACAGTAGAAAACCATTGTGTCCGTATAACATGTGCTTCGCTGCATAAAAATACAGTCAATGCTTCAGTGACTTATATGAGGACATACTTGATGGTTCAGCTGCAGGCTCAAGTTTAGAACTATTTAACATGGGTTCTAACTAGTTCTGGAACATGCCCAATGACATGAGCTTTGCAGGCTTCTGGAAGTTCTGTGAAATGCCCACACAAGAAGCTCTCAAAGGAAGGCTAGCATACAGGGCATAGGATGTGAAGGTGGCCCTCACTGCCACTCACCAGCGGGCTTTGCGAGCTTGGGTATGACCTAGAGCTTCAGAGTTTCAGGCCCCTCATCTGTAAAGTGAAGTCTGATACATTAAGTTCTGAGTGATTCTGTGAAACATACGTAAAAAGGGGGGAGACTGTTTTAATGTTGTCAAGTTGTGAAACTAAGTGTGACTTAGATAGCTTTAAAGAGCCTTATTGAGTTATAATTTATATACCATAAGTTTCTCCTACTTTAACTGTAGAATTCATTTCTATGTAGTGAATGAAAGTTGTGCAACACCATCTCCACCATACATTTTTAAAAAATTCATTTTAATGAAAGTTTACAGAGACTTAGGGTTTTCTGTCACTCATTGTTGCACTTGTCTCCCTACCCAACTTCTCCCCTCCAATTCACTCTTCTCATTGAAAAGAAAGAAAAACTCTTTTATTATTATGCAATCCCTCCACCCACCATCCTCTTTTAGAAAATTTCCATTGCTCTAAAAAGGTGCCCGTGCCCATTTGCTCTATTACTTTTAAATTTAATTTAGTGATTTAAGTTAAACTTTTATGACTGGAGTCCAGGTGCCTGGAGCAGACTTCTGCCCTCTGCCCACACTCCTCCTCTGCCCACCTGAAGGATGTGGCATGGAATTATGCTGTGTTTGAGCCAAAGGCACCTGCCCAGATCTTAGCACAGAAGCTGGGAAATTGGTAATATTGAGATGCAGAGTATTTCCATTTCCTGAGACTGCAGCATTCCAGAAAGATAAGGGCAAATGCGCACAGGCCTCTTTGCTTCAATGCTGTGACTGTCATTTGCCAACCAGAGTTAAAGGTTAGCTCCCATTTCAGTCTAGACAAATGAAACACAGGTGCTTATTCATCAGCTTCCCCAGCACCGCCTTTAGAGTAATACCCTGAAGTTAAATGTTTTCTCCACATCTTTATGTTGTCAAATTGCATCATATATAAAAACACATTTTCTCCACATCTTTATGTTATCAGATTGCCTCATAAATTCTTTGTCTGACATAAACTGGTTGAGGTTTTGTTGGTTTTGGTTTATGTGGTGTTTTGCTTTTGTTTTTCTTTTAATTCAACTGAAAAAATTAAGTGGAAGGAGTCTCTGGGTGGTGCAGATGGCTGAGCACGTGACTGCAAGCAGAAAGGCTGGGGGTTCAAAACCACCCAGAGGGCCTTCGATGATAGGTCTAGTGATTCCCATCTGAAAGGTCCTGGCCTTGGGAACTCTGTGGAGTTGCTCTGCCCGCGGAGCAGCCAGGAGTGGGGAGGGACTCAAAGGCAAACCACAGGAACAATCTCAGGTCAAATCGGGAGAGAATATAAAGTGCACGAGCTGCCTTGAGGAGGTGGAAGCGCTCAGATTGGGGATTTTGCTGAAACCTTTGAAGCCACGCTTGTAGCTCTCACCATCACTTTAAAAAAAAATCTTCTGAAGATTACTTTTGCTTTGAAATACTCTAATGTAGTGTGATTGTAATTTTTCAACACTTAGTTTTCTCTTCAGGATTATTTCCTTGGTATGTGTTGGGCTTCTGACTGGCACTCTGAGAAATTAAAGCATTTTGGTGCTGGGTTTTTGCTTTTGTTTCTTTCACATGATTTTTATTTTGGTAGAAACAAAATTCTGCCTGAAAAGAATCATCGAATTCTTAAGAGTCTCACGTGTCATTTGTATTCTAGTTGGGGCTACAGTTTTCTTTTTCTGTGAAAATGTTTTTCCAGCATTTAAGAGCAAGTCAGCTGGAGTGTGTTAAGTATCTTTTTATGTGTACTGTGTGTTATCGTTGTTGGATGTTGTTAAGTCAACTCCTCCTCATAGCAACCCTCTGTACAGTACATTAAAATCTTGCCCAGTGGAGCTCCAGCCTCACAGTTTCTGCTCCACTTAGCCCATTACTGCAGTCATTCTATCAATCCATCTCACTGAGGGTCTTCCTTTCCTTTCTCTTTCCAAGTGTGATGTCCTTTTCATACTGACAACATGCCCAAACTCTCGTATATGCATATGAATAAAATTGAGGGACCTCTGGTGACCTCTCCCTGGTGGCCTAGTGGCAAGAAGCTGTGCTTCAATCCCAAAGGTACAAAGTTCAAATCCACCAGCTGCCCCACAGGAAAAGTTCTGAAAATCAAAGGGTCAGCTAGGGATCGATTCTGACTCGATGATACACAACAACTAGTGACCTAGTGGTAAGAAGTTGTGCCACAATTGCAAAGGCAAGCGGTTTGAATCCACCAGGTGCCAGGCAGACTCTTCCAGTGAGACTTACTGCTTCTGAAACCCTCCCAGAGGGACAGGCTATGGTCTTTTGTGACTTGACAGCACATAACAACAATGTGTATATTGTATACATCTTTCATGCTGTACTGTGCATGACAAATATATCAGGTGAGGTTAACCCATTTCTACTTATTTACAGGCAGATTATCTGCTTGGAGCAACCTAGGAAAAATACTGCTTTCTTTTTCTTAGCAATATGATCAGCTCCTCTAACTTATATATAGCTGTGTATAAAACATCATATATGGTAGCCTTATTGAGTTATAATTTATATACCACAGAATTTGCCCATTTTTACTGTAAAACTCACTTTTCCCCATTGATTTTTAACAAACTAATGAGTTGTGCACCCATCTCCATAATCCTGTTTTAGACATTTTTATTGTCCCCAGAATGTCTCTTGTGCCCATTTGCTCTGTCAGTTTGTAATTTTAATTTATTAGTTTAAGATAAACTTCTCAAGACTTTAAAAAAATGCATTTCCTTCTATCCAAGAAAATATTGGGCTCTGAGTGCGTAGTTGATATTGGAGCAGTTTGGCTGGTAGTAGTCTATTCAAGTCTAAACAGCTTTCAATCACTCTATTTATGGTTTCATGTATTAGCATTTACAATGTTTTTGTTGTTGTGTATCCTGGAATCAGAACTTACTCATAGCTGACCCTCCATTGGGTTTTCAGAGGCTGTCAATGTCACAGGGGTGACTGCACATCCTTCTCCTTCAGAGAAGCTGGTGGATTCTAATCATAAGCCTTTGAGGGGCAGCACCCCTTCTTAGGCACAAACCACCAGAACATTTATAGTGCATATACGTATTCAAATGTATATATCAAAGTGAATATGAAACATAAATACCGTACCTTCTTCCCCTTTCATCACTAGGGGTCACTTAGAAGTTGTGCACGTGAATTGATGAGGCATGTGTGAATAACAGTTTCTGCAACTTGTGCTTTCTCCCTGTGATGCAGGCTACCCAGACCCTGAGGTCGTCTGGTTCAAAGATGACCAGTCCATCAGGGAGTCCCGCCACTTCCAGATAGACTACGATGAGGATGGGAACTGCTCTTTAATTATTAGTGATGTTTGCGGGGATGACGATGCCAAGTACACCTGCAAGGCCGTCAACAGTCTTGGGGAAGTCACCTGCACCGCCGAGCTCATTGTGGAGACCATGGAGGAAGGGGAAGGCGAGGGAGAAGAGGAAGAATGAAAACAGAGCCTGAGAGAAGCCATTTCCACGTCATATGAAAATGACTGTGTCTCTAAAACTTAAACAAAACCAAACAAACCAAAACCAAACAAACCCAAGGTATTAAAAGCACCTAGTGTGATAGAGTGTCTAGTTAAGATATTTAGGGGTTGATTCCTCAGTGAGGGCGGTTAGCAGCGGCACCACCGATGGGCATTAATCTGAACTAGCTGGCTCCTTAAGATGCAGACAGATTCCTTTTAGGGAAATCATCCAGTAACTTGCCCAACCAACTGATTTTAGAACAAAAGTAACCACCACAAAACAATTGCTCATGTACAGTCATCATGTCTCCAGTCTATAATACTCATGCAAAATAAAGCCAAACAAAGGGACCCTGTGCCGGGTACCCACAGTCCAGGTGAGAACACCCCTGGCTGTGGGAAACCCACATGCCTCAGCCCCCAATTCCAAGCAGCTGGTTCTTCAGTGCTGCAGCACTGCATCCGGAAAGCGGCTGAGCCATTGCACCTTAGGTGACATGTCTTATTCCAAAGTATACCAAGGAAGTTGAAACTCCTCATTCCTCTCCCCCACCCCCCTGCCACGTTTCCTGGATCTGACCTTGGCATGAAATGAAACAGTAGCACAAAGAACGTTGTGCCTCTTAGATGTTGAAGGAAGGTCCCTGCTTCTAGCTGTCTCTGAAATCCCCTTCCTTTACAAAACCAGTGAGAAATGGAAACCTAGCCCCTCTTTGAAAGTGTCTAGCAGCTGCAGACATTTGTATAAGAATTCGGTGGGGGGGGGGGGTGGTGTGGAAGGGGGAATCCTTGCTCATGTGTTTTTCGTCCTCAACCAGAATTCTTTCTTATGTGTGCTCTTATCAGAATATCAGCTCTGCATGTATGGTAAAGCATTTTGTGCTTGAATGTATGAAACACACTTCTGCTGAAAAGTTAGTTATTTATTGGCCACTCTGAAGCAGATTTTGCCAGCTGAATATGTGTGCTTTGGACTCTCCTTCAGCTGTACTTGGGAATCCCTGGGTTTAATGCATCTTCACTCTAACCACATATCAAAGAACCCTACTTTTTTTTTTATTCCACGATATTCTTTCTTAAATGTGCATCAACCTTACCTTGTCCCAACCCTGAACTGAATTCTTAGACCTGATAAATACACTCGGATGCTCAACCTTAAGAATTTTTTGCTTTTTGTCACAATATTGGCACTTAAATTTTTCTTTACAAAATTTTTGAAAGTCATAAACAAAGGCCATAAACCGATAAACCTACTGCATTTCCTCTGTGTGTGTGTGTGTAACATTCCAAATATTTTTCATCTTTTTCCACTGTTTTTGAAGTGCAGCAGCTTAATAATTCAAGGGGCTTTTTACCAGTTCCCTAAGCATCCATTTGAAATTCAATGCAGTCCTACACAGTAGCAACTTAGCATTCTGATATTATTTAGTTCTTTGTGATCTTCTATTATTACTGCTTTTGCTGCTCATTGCAAATTGCCAGTATTTTTTGTTTTATATTTGCTCCTGAAGTTTTCCATATTTTTCATAATAGCCACGGTATTGCCACAGTTTACTATAAGAAGAGGTGTTCAACTTTAGAGCATTCAAAGCTTTTCCCCTCCCTCACTTTTTAGACTATAATTTTTGTGCGCGTGTATGTGCTATGTGTGTGTGGTGTGGCTGTGTGTTTACAGGTTTTTAGTACCTTCCTGAAATTGTGTTAACATTCTCCCAGTTTATTATGCCATCCGAATGGCCAATGAGAACACTACGACTGTAGTTAACTCACAGTTTTTGAATAAAGGATACCACAGTACATACTGTTTGTTCAATCTTTGCAGGTTTCTCTTTTCCTTCCATGCCAACAATTTCCAGATACTGAAAGCAAAAACAACCCCCCAAACCAAAACAACACTGTCCTACATATAAATGTGATGGATTGGCTTGTGTGTCTTGTGGTTTACTAAGGAACAGAATGATGTGTAGTTCTGTTCTTTTTCTCTCTCACTCTCATTGCTGTCAAGTCAAAACCAACACAGCGGATCCTCCACCTAGTTGTTGAGAAGCTGTAATTTGCTCAGGAAGATGGACCATCTTTCTCATGCAGAGCAACTGATAGACTCGAACCACTTGCCTTTTGGTTGGCAGTGCAACTCCTTACCACTAGGCCACCAGAGCTCTCTACTGTCCTTACTGGGCGGCCTAATGAACACAGTTAGTTCAGACTTTCAAGTGTCAGTTTGCCCCAACTACATTCCTGCCTTCATCTGTAGCTTCAGGTCCTCATAATGCTAAAATCTACATGACATCTTTTTAGCAGTGACCAATGATCATCCTCCATATTATTCGCCAGCATCTGCTTTAAATTCGGTGACTTCCGTACAATTTGCAATTGACAACCCCTGCCATTTTTCCATGTCTTGATATTTAAGCATTTGTTGCCAGAAAACCCTCACTCTTGCTTTGCAGGAAGTCACAGGTAAGACAGTGAGTTGCCCATCTCTTGGGATGGTCAAACAATATTGTAGATACTCTAGAAAGAATTCAAGACAAGGTGTAAATTTTAGACTGGATGAGCCTATGATTCTAAGGTGTAGAATATAAGGAGACTAGTCACTGTCCACTTAATAAATATTCAAGCTTTTTCAATTTTTAAAAACAGGAACATTTTTTTTCCAAAGAAAACTTTTTATTCCTTGCTAGTGAAAAATGAGTGTCAAGGACTGCAGCCTATAATATGGATTGAGGCTCAATGTCAAGAAGACAAAGATTCTCACCACTGGACCAATTGGCAGCATCAGGATGGATGGTGAAGAGATTGAGATTGTATACAACTTTAGTTTGCTTGGCTCCATAGTCAACAGTCTTGGCACCAGCAGCCAGGAAATTAAAAGCCTCATTGCAATGGGAAAGTCTGCTGTTAGGGACCTCTCCAAAGTGCTGAAGAGCAATGGTGTCTCTCTGGAGACTAAGGTGCGTCTGATACAGGCCATGGTCTTCGCAATCACCTGTTATGCATCAGAGAGTTGGACAATGACCAAGGAGGATAGAAGGAGAATTGATGCCTTTGAGCTGTGGTGCTGGAGAAGAGAATTGAGAATACCATGGACTGCTAGGAAAACAAACAGATTTGTCCTGGAAAGGGTTAAACCGGGTGGCTCCTTGGAGGCAAGGATTCTGAGGCTCCATCTAACATACTTTGGACATGTGAGGAGAGACCGGTCCTTAGAGAGGGACATCATGCTTGGGAGGGTGGAGGGACAGCACAGGAGAGGAAGGCCCTCTATGAGGTGGATTGATTCAGTGACTGGGTTAATTGGGATGGGTGTGTCAGAGACAGTGCGATTGGCACAGGACAGAGCAGAGTTTAGGGCTGTTGTGCATAGGGTCGCTATGAGTCGCAGGCGACACGATGGCACATAACAACAACAACTACAACAGTGAAAAATGTACCGGATAGAATGTGAACCTGGAAAAAAACAAGAATATTGTCTTCCATTTCCACCCAAAATACATAAACAGTCATCTATTGATTGTTCCTTGCTTTGTAGGTACTCAGATTAAATTCTATATCTGTATAGAACAAAGGACATGCTAGCTGTCAGCTCTAACTTTATATATAAAGGCCTTCTCTTTCATTTTAAACAAAATGTTTTCATTTTATGCTCTGCTTCATTTTTCACCTGCTTTTAATAAAACTATGCTAATGGATATCAAGAAGGTGACAGACAATTGAATTCTACAGGAACTCAATCCTTGACTGTTCAACACCCTTTCTTTGCCTCATGGAGAATCCTCAGCATTTTGAAGAGGAGGCTCCTGTCTGTGAGAGTCACTGTCAGTGCTCACTGCCCTTTGACACATGGTCAGAGTTCCATTCAGGGACCCCTGTTAGATGAGGCCTGTGTGACTGCTCAGTTAAAGGGGCACAGTGGGCAAATCCCACCTTTGTCACTGGGTGGCATGGGTCAGTATGAATCTCATTCCAACCGAGGATGGATCCAGGCTTCCCCTTCCCACCTCTCCAGTACTCCCGATGCTAGATACAAGATTCTGTTGCACTTCCTATCAGACTCAGCCACCCACCGTTAGGTCACATGCCTAAGAGCCAGGTCACTGGGAACCAGACATAGGTTTAGGGGATCTGCACAGCTCGCTACACTTTAAATCTACAGTGAGGTCACAAGCTAGAAGGATCTTGTCCTTCATCAACAGCCTCTGCAGTCTTTCCCTGTTACCTAGCCTCCCAGAGCTGGGTCTCTACCATCATCTGAACACACAGCCCACCCTGACACCAGCCATCCAGAACTGGTTCCTTACAACTCTGTCCCTGACACTTAGCTAATTCCTTTATACTTTCCCTTCTGAATTATACTTTCCATTAGGTGACTTTATACTTTCCCTTCAGAATTTCCTTCTCTGAATTAGCTAAGTCAGTACCTTTTTTAAAATTTTTATTAAATTTTATTAATTTTAATGAATACTTACAGAGATACTGGATTTCTATTCATTCATTGTTGCACTATTTTCTCTACGCACCCCCAGTTCATTCCTCTTTTTTCCCCCCTTGAAAGTCTGTTTTAATTGTCCCATTGCCACAGTGCTTGTCAAAGCCAGTTCTGAGTAATCTCCTTTGTCAGTGTGTCCTTTGCCATTCCCTATCACTCCTCCCTGAGGGAGACTTCAGTCAGTACCTCTTTGACCCTTGTGTATTTCTTAAT